AGCCTGCTCTAACCAATTCCATTTTTATTGTGTAGACAGGCACTAAAGAAATTAGAACACCAAAGACTGATTAGATTAAGACAACTGAATGAAGGGGAAGATGAACAGCTGTGCTCCTCCTGGAAAGGAAGTCATCTGGCTCAGCAAGTGGTCCTCTTCTTGTTTCAGTGAAGCCAGGACCTGCCCAGCACGTGTCTCTCACAGCAGGAGGCTGTGTCCACATAGGACGGTCTCGGAGCCTGATCCCAAGCACAGGCCTGCACATCCAGTCCGACCCTGGTACTCCAGCAATTGCCTGAGTCTCCAAACGAGGCTGATGAGGGTATTGCAAGTAGATGGCCACAGTGGGGACAAGCCTAGCATGTGTGAGGGACAACAAGGCCAGTGGGACTGGAGGGAGGTGAAGGGCAAGAAACGAAGGGAGAGGAAGGTGGAGAGGTAACTGATAACCAAAAGAATCAGGCTTGTTGTTTAGCTCTGTTGGTTAGAATATAGCCTTATAACACCAAGGTCATGGGTTTAGATTCCCATCTGCCAGCTGCCAAAAAAATAATAAAATAAAAAGTATGCTTCACTTTCCTGCTTTTAGTTGCATTGAACTATTTAGACAGTAGTGAAATGAACTATGAAATTGAAGGGTATTACAGTCAAAAGAAAGTTTCAAAAGTTAAAAAAAACTTATTTTATAAGTACAATATTATTAAAATCAATTACCATAGAAAATTTTTCTTAAAATTCTCATTTCTATTAATATAAAATGTAGGCCTAAAAAAAAAATTTTTTTTTTGGCAGCTGGCCAGTATGGGGATCCAAACTCTTGACTTTGGTTTTATAACACCACTGTCTAACCAACTGAGCTAACCAGCAGGCCTGTAGGCATAAAATTTAATTCAACTATACATGCAAAGCCCTGACTTTTATTTCTTCTTCCTCTTTTTTTTTTTTAAAGCCCTGACTTAAAAACTGTATTTCTTATATTTACTGGTGTATTTATTACTGCTGTAAACATTCCATGCCATCTTTTGGGAATCACTAGTACTCCTACAAATCATTTCAGACTATTTGAACTAAACAAAATAACTTTAAAAAACAGAACAAAAAAAATAGCAGAAATCCTTTTGAAGATAAAAACCAAAGGACTGCCTTTGGAACAGCAAGTTGAATAGTTATAACTATTTACTTTGTAAAAGAATAATTGCATGGTTTTGAAATTAACTATTAAAGGATAGTAAAGTGTCCTGCTTTTCTGGCATCAAAACATACATTAAACCTTAAAACTGGCCTTTTTTATCCAATGAAGATATCAAATAATTGAAATTTTGCTAATCTTGCTCTCAACACAAAATACAAGCAAACATCAAATCTCTCTTCTAATCCTTTCACACTTAGAAATCTTGCATCAAATCTTTCTTACCAACCTATTATTGTATAATATTTGTAACAACATTTTCATGTACAATTTTGGCAATATTTAAAATTAAAGTTCTTCATAGTTGAATTAAAAACTGTTTGGCATTTGACCAAATCCAATTAAAAAGTACACATTTGAAGAAGAATTGAATGAGCATGAGATAAGCAATGAATAAGAGGAAATAATTCAACTAAATATGAAATCTTATTTTATTATAAAAATTTATACAAAATAAATCATAAACACAAGTTAAAAATAAAACTTAAACAGAATTAAGCAAGTATACAAACATTTCAAACAAAAAAGTAATAACAAAAACTTCATCTGCTTGTTTGACAGTTTATTCACCTTTTAGATACATGATGCTTTATTTCTTAGACTTAAACTAGCAATTTCCATTTTAAGTAGTCTATGAAACATTAAATATTCTTTTTAAAAGACAAGCAGATTTTTAAACTCAAGGATTAACAAAGACTTGCAAAGTGATGGCCAAAATTTTGTGTATTTGTTAACAAAACTGCAAATCTAGAATACAAAATCTACCTGAAATTATCTAACCAAAAACCAAACTATTGAAATAAGACTCAGTTTCTGAGATGGTATAAACAGAAAATTAAAATTTTATTTACATATAAGGTTTTATACACAAATGGATTTTTGTCAATATACTTTTAGAAACAAACCAAACTGGCCACCATTCCTGAAACCCTTTTTACACTATGCTGGAACTTAAAAGAACTTTCAACAATTTCAAGTTTACATAGAAAAATAAATTTTTTATTGTTGAAATAACAAATAATTTTTCTTTTGAACTTATGAAAGTTTTCAGCATTCAATTCAAAGCTTCTAGAGAACAGTCCTCCAATATTAATGGGGTTATTTTCCCATTAAAAAAGGAAAGAACTCTGGGAACAATACTTAACATAGAGTCCATTTTTCCCCAGTAAACTCCTCCTCACAACACGAGATTAGCTTTCACAAGTAAGCTTTTCACACAGCTGTTTTTGAAAAAAAATTTGCTATCTTGTCCTCATTTAAAATCAGATTTTGTAGTTATATGGTGGCAAACTATTATTATTATTTGGATAACTGTTCAAACATGTACTGATATTGGACAAAAGAATAAATATCTGCTCATATCTGAAGCTAAATCACAATTTAGACAATAAGGATTACATGACCATTGTGGAAGTTAACTGTTTATTCAAGTAAGATCTGAATAAAAGTAAATAGTCACTTTTTCCAAAGTTGTGTTCAAATTTCAAATGGGTAAGTAATAGGTTCTAAAGCCTATAATTAGTTATGATAGGCTAACTTTGACAAATGATCATCCCATATTAAAAAAAAAAGTCACAAATTTGTGCTTTCTTCCCACTGTTTGTACAAAAACCAGTCAGAGCTTTTAGGATACAGAGGTACTGCACAGAATGATTTTCTCAAACAAATTAGTCCCCATGAGCATGGGATGAGAATGCTGTTTTAGAAATATTCCGTTAGAAACTCAGTACATTACAAATTATCCTA